GGGGGGGGGGGGGGGGGGGAGAAAGCGTAGACGAAAGCAGACGACAGAACATTGTTTGAGAGCATGAAAGGAGGTGAAAGAAGCACATTTTAACGAGAGAAAAAGTTCCGTCTCTGTGATCAGGTTTCGAACTTGGGACCTATTGAATGAGAGGCGAACAACGTAACCTCTAGGCCACGAGAACACCCCCCCCCCACCCACCCACCCCCAGGGCAGATAGAAAGAGATGTCACGTAACTATGAAGAATTCCCCTGGAGAAACTCGTAATTATGATTACGTATGTTTTAATTTTTGTTTTCCACATCTTGCAAAGTGTTCGAAGTGAAATTACGAGTCTGTCCGCAATGTTTGAACATTATTATAAAAACCAAAGGGGAACACATTTGAAGATAGTGTTTTTCAGGAAAGTATATTTATAATGGTGGAACTCTATATCTAAAATATTACCTGTCAGTTTGTTTGGGTTTGTTGGGAGTTTTTTTGGGGGGGGGTTGTTTTTTTGGGTTTTTTGGGGGGGAGGTTGGGTTGTTTTTTTAATGTATGCATGTCGTAGTGATACTGTGTGTGTGTATTTGTGTATGTGTGTGTGTGTGTGTGTGTGTGTGTGTGTGTGTGTGTGTGTGTGTGTGTGTGTGCGCGCGCACGCGCGTTTTGTAAGCGCCACCGAGCACTTTTTGTGGATTCTGGCGCGTTATAAATTTATTTATTATTACTGTTATGATTATTATGATTATTATGATTATTATGATTATTATGATTATTATGATTATTATTATTATTATTATTATTATTATTATTATGATTATTATATGCATTGCGTTTTACTGGCATAATAACGTGCAATATGAGTCAATAATTTTTTAAAACTTCGAATATGTAAAATTCCCCCAATTCCGCCCCCCGCCCGAAAAAATCCATCACCACCTCAAACAGCAACAAAGGGATAACGGTACAAGACAAAAACAAACTAACAAACAAAGCAACAGCAATCAAGCACAAATCACCCTAAGCAAACAAACAAAATGAAATAAATAAAACAAATACGCAAAACAACCCAAAAACCCCCACAAAAAACACAACAACAAAACAGCAAAAGCCGGATTATTCGTCTTAACAATGTACCTTTGTTGGAAGTATTAGTGGGAGAGGGTGGGAGAGGGTGGGAGAGGGTGGGGGGGGGGGGGGGGGCTCATGATCCAAACACTGGGTTTTCTGACTTTAGAATGGTGAGTTGCTTCTGAAGGGAGAAACCATTATTCTCTTTTTTTTTTTCAAAATGATAATCGATGCCAGCTCTTCATATTATTATTTCCCCTCTGCGTTCTACAGGCTTTAGACTGTCTTCATACCTCCCACTGTGCAGCATTTCCAAATTGTTGTTTGATAAAGTGTCTTTGTCTTTTCAGAATCGATAGCAGTCAACAAAAGGCCTCTAACATCAGTTTTCCTTTTGCTTGTGACAAACTCTTCCATTTCTCGTGACAGTGATAGCAAAGAACCTCGGAATGAAATATTACCGAAACGTTAACACACAACCTCTACAGTGATTTAAATAAAATCACTGTCCGTGTGTTGCCGCGTTTTATTAATGAGCTGCGTGTTTTTTAAAAAGTCTCCACTGCCGAGAGAGGCCGTTTTGTTCAAAAAACAAAATTGCTTTGTTTTATTTTCGTTGTTTTTGGATTTGTGTGTGTGTGTGGGGGGGGGGGGGGGGGGGTTGAGGGTTTTTTAATTAAATTTTTTTTTTTTTTTTTTTTTTTTTGGGGGGGGGGGGGGGTCTTTTATTAACTAGACAAAACCTTATTTTTGAGTTCTTGGTGACCACACAAAAACAGGGGAAACCTTAAACTTCACGACAGACATTCCTGTTCACGTTAAAACATAAACATTTGCCAAGCGGAAGCCGGAAGAAGATTTCAAAAAGTTTCTCCCCCTATCACGGACCGCACCTCCTCTCTCTCTCTCTCTCTCTCTCTGTAGGAAGTTTTTTACCCACAAAATTATTTCCCCCACCCGCGGGGCGACCGGCAGTTTTAGTGAGAAATGTTTTTTTTTTCATTATCGGGGGGGGTTTGGTGGCGGGGGGGGAATTTTAGAAATGTGATGTTAGCCTAGGTGGGGGGGATGGAAATAAATGAGGAGGAAGAAGGGGTGTGCGCACTCGGGGAGTGGGGTTTTAAGCTTTAGTAATAAACAAGCCTTCACAGGCAGCCCAACCCGCCCCGCCCCCCTTTAATCGATAAAATAGGCTTAGGGGAGTTGGGGAGGAGGGGAAAGGCTAAAAGAGA